GATGACCAGGTAATTTTCAGCCATTCGTAGTCGTCGTTGTCTACTCATTTTCGATGTTGTTTTTGACGTTTGCTCGACGATTGAATATTGTGAAGGATCAATTGTTGTTTGGATAGAGACCACTGTTTTCTATTTATATATTCGATATTGGATGTTTTTTATCTAGATTATTCTATGACTTCAAATATGGGTGCGTATTTTTTTTTGTTGATACTCAAAGATAAACCCCACCTACTTTCAATTGAAAATATGCTTGTCAAAAGTAAACGAAAGAAAAAAATCCAATAACATCATTTATCTTTTCGTTATTCTTTCCAACTTTCATTGGATTTTTTTTTCTGTTGACTTTTATTGACCCTATAAAACGTGGCTGACAATGCAAGATAAGAAGAAATTAAGTAAAATTAAATGGAATGATAAGAATAAGATAGCAAGAAGAAAGATACAAAGACAACAAGTGGAGTTATAATCATCATAAACTTGTAGGCTAGTGCGATCTTATGTTGGGATGTGTGTGTCTAGGTAGATGGGTTTCCGAATGTGAGTATGGGTGGATGTGGCTGTGAATGTATGCTGTGAATTGGTGCTGGTGGATGTGGTTGTGGCTGCGGCTCCGGACGGGCATCGATGTGGGTTGGTACAGCTGTAATTAAGAGTAGTGGATGGCTATGTGGGAGTGTGGCTGTGGATGTGAGAGCGGAAGCGAGTGACGTGAACGTGGTTGTGGGTATCGATGTAGGCGCGGATATGGGTGTAGGTGTGGGTGTGAGTCTTCTCTTCAGCAAGCACGCCCACGTCCACCGACACCCACAGTCACACTCATGCTTTCATTCTTGTTCAAGTTAAAAACCTTGTCGATCATGTGAAACAGTAGAGTTAATGGTTAAAGTTGGCGTGAATGATGTCAGGCCTCTTCACGCCCTCATGTCAAGATAGATAGATAGCGTCTCCTTGCAACTTGTATTTTGATAATTTCCAATCCCTTCGAACCAGCCATTGATTTTACTTTTTATCGTATTTCGAAGGATACTCTTGTAGGACTCACTTCATTCTAGCTCTTTGATCATTAGTAAGTCGACTACAGACTAGAATTCTACAAGGTTAACATCAAAATTACTGAAAAAAGAAGTCCTCCAACGGATGCGCGCCGTTTTTGTTGATATTTTGCCCATATGTATGGTTTGATGATACTAGAAAAAGCTTAAAAAGATAACGGCGCATAAGTTTTCCTTCTCGAGTGATGATCATTTTACTTGGTTTATCACCTATGACAAGGGATTCAGTGAAAAATCAACTTTCGTACACATGCAAGTCTTATGACCTATATATTAGGCTTAAGGTTGCAGTCAAAACAAATGCTTCTGTCGTGAAATATTGATTTTTCAATAGAAGTCGATTTTCATGACATGTATGTAGCACGGTAATATTTTCTTGATAACGCAATATTTCGAGAAAGAGGCGTTTGTTTTGACTGGAGCTTTTAGGCTAATATACAGGCCATAAGACTTGCATATGGACAAAACTCAGATCGAAATTTCTCAATTTGATTTTTCGCTGAACCCCTTGTCCTAGGTGGTAAACCAAGTAAAATGATCATAACTTGAGAAGGAAGGCCTATGGATTGTTATCCTTTTAAGTTTTTTCTAATCTCATCGAACCCTACATATAGGCAAAATATCAACAAAAACGGCATAGATTAGTTGGAGACTTTTCCTTGAGAGTCTTGTACCATTACGAGCTCTTTGCAAAGATTCGCATCGGTTTGAGAAATGAACTTTTCAAAAGTTTTATTTTCATGTTGTTTGATCACCAATCAGTTAAGAAGTCTACAATGAATATATTATGTACTCAAACGGGCTCGATAAGACACCATGAATTCTTGTTTTGTTTTTTAACAATGATACAGTATGCCGTTTGTGTCACAGGAGTTAATCGCAGAAAAAGAGAAAAAAGTTGGTTGGGACGCATGCTTTTATTTTTCTTTCGCGGAAATTCGATGATTTTGCACATAACATACTTGAATAGCAGTCTTCACTTGCATAATAAATATTTGATAAGAAAATAAAGAACGGAGCACTTTGTTAGTTGTCATCAGTGAGTTTTATCCAACTTACAAGCAGAACAACACAAGGTCAATACACAGGTGAAATAACGCTAAATCAGCAAGCGTTGATGTCTGTTACAGTGGGGAGCCAGACGGACATGCGCGAAAATATTCTTTTCCAGAATCTAACCATTTGTGTAGGCGCATGCATATGTGATCTATCATTTCCTAAAATAGCGGTTCTCAAAGTTTTATAAAACTCAAGAAAAGAACTCGCCAAGGCTTGCGCGCCAGAAATCAGTATAAATAAAGAAAGTCAAGCTGCTAGGCAATATGAAACAATATTGCACAAGCAAAAAATATCACAAAAAGCTTCCTCATGGGTAGACCTTATGTTTAAAAAAGCGTGATCCAAATTTAATTTAAAATAGAGTAGAAGATAAAGGATCTCGAAATCCAAAACCTATCTGAAAACATATCGTTCCATATATTGTAAGCACTACAAAAAGAAAACGTCGAATCGAGCGCGCATTTTTACTAGACATTTTTACATATGTAACCTACTTATGATAGTGGCGCAAACTTATGAAACCTTTCCTAAGCTATTTTACAGTAGGAAATCCGATTTTTGGCACTGATATTACTCTTTAAAGAAAAACTATGGTGATATTCGGAATGCACGCATTACACTACTTCGAGTGATATGTAGCTCAACATATTTTTCAAAGCAAATTGTTTTCGGAAAATTATGGCTGAGGTACTACTCCCCAGCCAGATTTTTTTGTAAATTTTTTTCTTAAAAACTTTCTGTTTTCTTAAAGATGATTCTCTGAATGATGTATGGTTATTTCTAAGCAAATGAAAGCCATTTCTGAACAAAAAAATCGTATGTTCGCCTGCTTATGCGAAAACTTCCGACTATGCTGCAGGTACTCAAGGACTATTATATAGGAGTGTCCATAAATCCTAAAGCCCTATCCTGAAGCGGTAACCTTAAGTAGGTGTATCATAGATTCAGCTCAGTTCGCTAAGCTAGAACTAGTCAGCCAGCTTTGTTCGCAAGAGCTGGGTCTATTGCACACCTAATGATCAATCGATCTTTAACCACAGAAGAGCTCAAAATTCACCTAAATTTTCAAACATTTTCTCCGCCACATACACTACTTGTGTATCGAAGACATTTTATCACGCGACTCAATTACCTTCAGCTAACAAAAAAGCTTACTCTTACTTGCTAAAGCAAAATTCAAGTACACATTTCTTACATTACTCATGAACCCAATATTTCCTAACGCATTCAACAATGACCCTAATAGCCCTCAAAACTTTACAGATGTCTACTACAAACTATGCTTACCCTAACTATTAGCCGCCTTAATTAGTGCTGATTAATTGAGCACTCTCTCTAATTAGTTCTAATTAGTTGGGTACTAATTAATTAACGAACTTACAGTCACATAATGTGCTCATAGCCTACGGCTGCAATTGATGGAATCCTACTATGGGCTGTTAAGTATAAAAATGGACTGGCGTGAAGTGAGCTCGAAATTTAGGATTTACGCACTGTGAGGCTCACTTGGTCGACCACATTTATATATATAGGAGTATCATTAGAAATATGGCTCTGGCATTCTACTCGATGTAGTTATGCTTGTTAAATGAACTCATAGATTAAATCGTGAATGAGAAATGATTAACATCAAGAAACAATGAAAACACGTTATAATCAGCATAAAAAATACGTCGTGATGAACTTTGTTGAAAAAAGTTAATTGAGCCAGCCATGATTTTTCTTAGATATTTTCACATAGAAGATGGAGTTTTTTACAGGCTATCTTCTGATATCATAAAATTCCTGAGGAACCCCATTTTTAAATTCAAAGATCAAAATACTTTTAAAAAAATGCAAAAAAAAACATGAAAAAACATGGTAGGAAAAACCATACACTTCTTCATTAAAAAATCATCGTATTAATCCTTTTTTTCCTATATAATGATGCTTGTGTGAAATCGACAGAAAAAGAGATACTCTCCGTTTTGACAAAACTCAACACTATAACAATTCGTGGAATAATGCTTTAGTTTTACAATATATTAAAAAGTACCAAAAATAAAAATTAACATTTTGCATTATAACTCTATAAGGCCTGTTACCATGACATACGTCATAATTCAATGAATCATTATCAGATCGAGTTAATATTTCGGATTTAGTAATACCTATATGCGACCTTTATTTTAAGATAATAAAATCAAAAATCAAAAAGTTTACTCCAGCCATGTTGTCTGGTATTCTAGTAGACCGTCTGCCAATACTCATAAAGTAAATTAGAAAAAGAAATAAAAAGGTAATCATTTGGATAGGCTGTAGCGTACAATTTGCATGATCTATTTTTTGTCTTAAGTTTCACTTCATACCATATGAGGTTCAATGTCCTAGTAGAGAGATCTACGTTTGCAGTCAAACACCGTCAGAAGTTAGAGAAGTATGGCATTGTATCTAAGTTTCTTACATCGAACCTAAACTATTTGTATTATTCAACCAATGATTCCGATTTCAATGCAAATAAGAATTTCGATGCTGTTGCTGAATATATCCGATGGATCGGCTAATGGGAAAATAAGTTGAAACCAAGAGATATTCAAAATAGAAGAAAACGATTTCAATGAAATGAAGAAAAGAGAAAAAAAGATAAACTTCTTCACGAGCTACTTTCATATCATCTTTTACATTAGTAAAAATAGTAGGTCGAATAAAATAACCTTTATCACCAACTTTTTTATCCGATCGAATACATTCAAGAATTGTTTCTAATTGAGTATGACTGTTTTGCAGAATACACAAAAGAAATCAATGTTAATCTGTCGTCTTATCAAATTGTTTTCTGAATCCTCAATCAATATGTTTTTTCCATAGTTTAGATTATGGCACTTTACTTGAAATGCTTTCCTATACCTATGGTCCTTGTTCAGTTGTAAGATCAAATGGATCACCAACAATACGCGTCTTTGCTAATTCGACACTTTTAGACACAAAGGCATCGTGAAGTGTGGAATGAACATATATTCTTAATGCAGCAAAGCATACTTGATCTGTATGAGTGAAAACTGCTCTATGAGCAGTTCGAACAGGAACATCGACTAAAACATGCAAAACAAATTAGTTCGATCGTTTATAAACCTTTTTCGTCATTAGGAAGCATAATGAAAGTGGAAGTAGTAGAATTATTTAATACATACGATCAGTATCTTCACAAATGATTAATGGTGATTTACTACTTATATGTGATGAAAAAGGCAACAAAGCAGACAGGTAAGAAAGATGACTTTAGTACCTAAGTTCTAGTGAAACACGCTTTAGATTAGTTTTTCCTGCAGTTTCTTGAATTTTTTTCCCAGTCTAAAACAAAATATCATGTGCTTTTGTTATTTTATCTTCCATCTGCACTAATTTTGCCTTGAGTGAACCTGTAAAAGCTATTTTATTAATCTTTTCATGCATGACCACAGTTAGGTCCATGACTTACATATGTATATCATTATAAGAGTTGTTTTCATTCTGATGATGTGTATTACCTAATACACTGTTAATAATATCTGGTGGAAAACCAGCCTAGATTATTGATTTAGTATTAGAATAAACTTCGATTGTTCATAGATGTTGAATAACACTTCTTTGATGGCAGAAGGATAAAAGAGTGTAGTAAGTGGTGTTTGTTCAGCTGGTTTGAGAATAACTACATTGCCTATTTGTTATTGCAATATATAAGAAAATGTAAATTAATAGAAGTAACGAAGTTACCACAAACTAATGCTGATCCAAGTTTCAAGGCCAACATAACAGTCTAAAATATAATGACAACAATACTTTTGTATGATACATATGTAAGATAGAATATCGTACTGAATAATTACTGAAAGAAGGAAGTACAATTTGAATGTTCATTTATTGAATGTTTGAACTGACCATGAAATGATTTGTCCATAGATCCCAACTAATTCATGTCTAATATAGGTAATAAAAATACCTGATTCTGATGGAAGTGTTTCATCAGTGATTTTATCAGCCCATCCAGCATCTGTAACATGTGAATATCATCGATAATAAAAAAAAGAGAATGTCAGAGAGGTTTACAACAATCAAGACAAACAGCTGCTCCAGGAATCTCGCAATAACTCTCTTGCAGCAATTTTTCACTACTCAGTGTTTCTAATCTCTGAATATTCATTTATGATATAGATGCAAACAAACAGAGTGAACATTTTTACTGCTAAATAATCCACAACACGTAGAAGTAAATCAGCAAGTTTACAAATTAACTGAGCACGTGCAGCAGGATCAAACTTACGCCACGGTGAATCATATTGGAAACCTTTTTCAGCAGCTTCAATTGCTTTATCAAGATCACTCTACAATATTGGAAACAATCAAAATTACACTTAGAACGAAAATAATCATGTATATATATTGATACTTTTGTGCCTTCTTCTACTTGACAAATTTCTTCATCTGTACTTGGATTAATGATAGAGAACGGATTCATTTTTGTCTACATGATTGACCTTGATTTATCACATAAGAAGAAAAGAAAGAGTGGACATATATTAGCTCGTTTCTTTATCTACTTATATTCATTGCTGTTTCAGCTGCAGATGATGTCTTCAATCTTAATAAATGATTCTACTTATGGAACCGATTTGGTTAAGAGAAAACAAAAATTTGATAAGGTAGCACACCTGAGTATTGTAACAAGTCTTCGTGTCAATGTGGTATTTTTTAAAACTTGTCTTATCGATTGGACTTTGCGACAAGCGAAGAACAGTTTTTTTAATAATGTATGTATTTGATATTGCACTTCACTATAGAACTATTTTACTAACAGGTGCAAATCAGATCGTTCTTAGTATATGCAAAATCATATTCTTTTGATGTGACTCTATTACTAAAGATCTTATCAGTTCGTTTAATGTGAAACAATCAATATACGAAGGAAGACTTCCAGAACGAAATTGCCACGATGGAAAGAAGGAATTTTTAGAATAGCGAAGATTTCAAGCGAATAGAACTAATTTTCATAATTGTACGCTGGATTTCGAAAGCGTTGTAAATAACAGGCTAAAGCATTCTCTTCACTAATATCATATATCTACTTATGTGATTTCTGTTAACAAATTAACATTTTTCATAAAAATATTATTGTTACTGTTCAAAACTGATGTCACTTAGATGATAGAGAACAGGAACAATCAAAAAATTTATTATATATAAAAACTTCTTTAGATTCACTATATATATATAATCAATAAGTAATGTTTTACGATAGCAGAAAAGAATCGATCACATTTTTCCTTCTTCAATAATCAATTTGTTTCTTTGTATTGTATTTTGTTTAAAGTCTTTTAAACAATAAAATTTTAAATGTTATTAATTATGTATCTTAAATTGAAACTAGATTATGATCATTCATACGAGTTATTACAGTAATTAGGAGTTGTTTCAAATGATTGCTCGTAGTATTCTATTCTTTGCACTTAAACATTTTATTTAAATTAGTTGTACGTATTAGTGAGACTTTCGCAATACATGGAAGAGTTTAGAGAGCAAACTACATATATGTTAGAAAGTTAAATAAGCAAATCCAAATAGCTGTTCTTCGTGAAAAACTTGTATTGTTTTTCCTCAAACAAGTTTAACAACAACTGTTTTTACTTTATAGTATGCTTCGAGACCATATCGACCTAATTCTTTTTCCTGACCTGATCCTTTAAAGCCATCAAATAGTGCTTGATCACATATAGTCTTATAAGTATTCATCCAAATAGAGCCAGGTCGTATTTGATGAGCCAACGTAAGACTACGTCTTACTGAAAAACTAGAATAATCATCAATAATCATTTCTTTCGAATTTACTGTCTCCAGTTATCACTCCAGCATCAAGTTCAAAAGTCGTGTCGTTTGCTCGTTTGGTAACTTCCTCATATGAATCATGCTTTAAGACTGACATTACTGGACCAAATATCTAAACTTTTACATTATTATAGAATCTAATAGAAAAAAACAATGTTATACCTCTTCACGAGTAATTTGCATACCATCTTTTACATCACTAAAAATAGCTGCTTTGATAAAATAACCTGTATTATCAACTCGTTCACCACCACATTCTAATTTATCTCCAAACTTTTAACCTGATTCTATATAGTCCAAAATCTATTGAAATTGACTATCATTTATCTATCATACACAAGTAAAGGGAACTTTTCTTTAGATT